CTCCTTCAACCACGTCGGCCGGCGATGGGTTCACCCTCTGGAACTTCATCAGCACTCTGGTCCAAGGTTTTCGCGCGGGCCCTGCGTTGAACGTTGACGATCGGGGCGATTGTAGTGTAGCCGTCGTCGACCGCTGGTTCCTCGGCTCGTGACCGCCTCCGATCTCGATGCCGTTCAAAGGCCCGCGGAGTTCATCAAGGCGGGTGTCCGTCGATGCGCGCTCGATCCCACTGCTTCTTCACCTCCTTGTAGGCTGTCTAAAATCACAATGGATAGCTAATCCCTATCAAGTCCTTATAATGGGAGTTACAATCAGACGACTTTCTAAATTCACTGCATCCGCAACTCTGCAACCGCTATATAACAAGGCCTCATCTCTGAGAGGATTGATCTTGATGGTGCGACAACAGCATGACTATATATTATATAGCAACTATTCTAGGATGCTGATGAGCCTTTTGTAATGATTTCAGGAAATAAAAGGTTGGGCTGTTAGTTGGTCTGAGTCGCTTTGGTTAGGAGCTGGTGGGCAAATATCCATCTTCAAAACACTTATGTTTTGATGTTGATTCCCGTCAAGCTCTCAGCAACGAAAGCTACAATAAATAGGCTTTGGGTCGACAGTCGGAAGGCAAATAGGGAGACTTTTCAGCACAGAATTTCTAGAGAAGTAGTGTACATTTTGACGACACTTCCGACATCTGATGGAAAACCCTTATTCAGTGGCCGTCACGATCGTTGGTGAAGATTACAATCGTAGACTCTCTCATATCTTATAAACAGGCAAGATCCGAATAAACAATGGCCTGTTGGCCAATTTATTGCGACAGAGATTACTCACAAGACACAATCTCGTATAAACGTAGGAGTTTAATTCTGCGTTTCTCGAATAATTCGAGACGCAACAACTTGTGCGTTCTCCAGGCGAATGTCTAATCTTGCAAACGCAGAGTTCAACCCAAGCGCACACATAACGTGCGTTGTTCAATAGGTTTCGACTACGTGTCCCAAACTCTGGACGCGCAGATTGAGCTTCACGGCAGCCGGCTGTGTGTCTTCAAATCTCTAACAGAGATTTTAACTCTGCCATCTCAAGCCTTGAGGCCAGAGTTAAAGCCCATAACGCAACTGAGGCGTTTTGGACTTGGTTCAACGCAAGCCCGAACAGGCCCAATAAACCGTTATCCACGGTTCTGAGGGTCTTCTCGCCCACAAAGGAGCGGAAATAGGGGTTGGTTACACTCCACATTCACCTATAAAGATAGACGCAACTTCACTACAACTGAGTAAGGGTTGGCGGGTTATATTATCCAATCGGTTCTGAGTCAAAACGGCAAAAGAGTTGGAGGGCGGTCGTATGCAAACCACACCAAGGGTCAAAATCTCGGCAGTTGAGTTAATCGTGAAGGAAGAGATCTTCGGAGAGATCAAGGGAACTGATCAACGAATCAGTTTAATCATAATCCGAAGTGATCCTTCATCAAAGGCTACTCACCTCCACTTGGCAAATTAACCGATATTTTCGGTTCCAACAAACTCTGTTACAGCGTTTTCTTAACTCATTCTGAGTTCGCTTAACTCGTAGAGTTCTTAATTAGCTATGCAACGCAGTTTAATGCACATTTCAACCAAATTCGGTTTTTTCAACAACTCTTAATCAGAGTTTCTTAACTCGTTCAGAGTTCTTGGTCACGTCGTTAAGAGTTCTAAACGAAGTCATCAAGGCACTTCAATTGTTCCAGTGAAGAAGGACGGTTTCGCTCCTTTGCGGATCTACGTATCAATGCGAGCGACGATCGAAGTGGAGGCACTCCACCTCTGACCATGTCAAGAACCCAGTTTACTAAGGGAAGTCAACATTCAGCTCGAACTCGAACGCAAGAACGATTTTGAGAAATACCAAACCTTTGCTTACAGTCAATTTCCAACAAAACAAAAGCTGGCGACCTCCGCTGGGGAATTGTTCTCTGACGAGGAAGTGGTGGCGAATCCGACGTTCACTCACCGGAACCACCGTCGAAACTCTCGTCGTAGAGTTCGCCAGAGCCAAGTATGAGGAGGTCCTCTTCCTCTGGGGTCCTTAGCCCAAAGCCTAGGGTGATACCAACGGACCTCTACGGAGGGTCAACACGCTACTGCTGAGATGCCAAAGAAAGCCCTCTCCTTTGGCCAAGACCTTTTAAACCGCTCTGGCGAGTTGAAGACTCCTCGCCCCGTATCACTACGGCAAATATAGTCAAAAAAAGACCTATGTCGGAGGACAATCCGACACGCCGCGATGCTGCCGGCCAAGGCTTGAAGACAGGCCCCAGGAAAAATGCTGCGACGAAGGAGGGGGAAGGATCTTACGGCCGAGCGCACTGCGGAATAGCCGAACTACCGCCCAACGCAAAGACGGGTTTCTGAGCTTGTGCCGAACTTGTGCGTTTTCCGCTCCCAGGAACGCACCTTTGTGCGCAATGAGCCCGATAGTGAGGCCTCGGCTGCTTATTCACTCAAACGCGACCCTCCAGTGGCGCGTTGTTCAACATGACGCACAACCTCAAAAGTGCGGTCCCAAACGTGATCCTCCAAAGGCCGTTCGATCATTCAAACGGCACGCCACAACTGGTTCAGTCAAAACAAGACCTCAAGGGTCTGTTCAAACAAGCCAGAACGCACACACAAGTGTGCGTTCAATTCAAAACCCGACCCTCGGGGTCTGGTCATCAAACAACACGCACGCCACAAGTGTGCGTTCAATTCAAACCCGACCCTCAGGGGTCTGGGTCATCAAACAAACGCACGCCCAAGTTTTTGATGCGTTCAATCAAACCGATCTCAGGGTCTGGGTTATCAACCAAACGCAATCACAAGTGTGCGTTTCCTAGCCAAAGACGACCCTCACGGGGTCTGTTTCTTCATTCTAAACGCACACCACAGTATGCGGTTCAAACAATGAACGCCCTCAGGGGTCTTGTTCAACATCAAACCGCACACACAAGTGTGTGTTCAATCAGGGACAAAGATCACAAGGATCTAGTCATCCATTCAAACCAGGCCTCAGCCTTCGGTGTTTATAAGCCTATGCCGACTCTCGTGTTTTATCAGAGCATGACCACGGGTCCGTCAGGCTTCAAAATTAGGCAGCATGGATTTAAGATCCATTTTCCCCCCCCTCGCCCCCTTCCCCCCCCCCCCCTCCCTGCCCAACCTACCAAGGGCAGGGGGTTCCATCTCGCACTTACGAGTCTTTCTCAGGTCTCCCGACCTGCCGTGAAATTGTGTCAAGAGGAAAGACCAACACAGCAAAGTGGCTCATTGATGCCAGTGTGACGGCGCTGCATTTTCTGCTTGTCCTCTCCGAATGCGGTTGTGTCTCATCCGACGCCTAGGCATCGGTGTTTAACTAGCGTTGACGAATGCTCGCGTAGACCTGCTAAACGACAGGCGTCGCCACAGAAGAAGACTCTTGAATTGAATATCCTGAGGTCACAATCAACTGGTCGGCAGAGGGCAAACTCCTCGACTTCTGATTCTTGATGAGTTCACAAACAACGTGTCATTCCCCGACTGTTCGGGAAATTTGTGATGATTTTTGAGGGAGTCTTAGGCTACTCGTTACTCAGATCAGGGAGCTATTGCCCGGATTAACTATGCAAAAAGTTGGCAAAGGAATTACAACAAGTGATGGAGCATTCCCGGAATAGACGAATCCTCAATCTTCGAGCTCAGTCGGACCCAAGGAAGTATCTGCCTACATTTGGCGGAAATCCGTTGAGACATTAGCCAAGAGAGTGAACGAACACCAGGTCATGCTCAGGCGCCAACAGGAGACTTCTCCAAGCTTGATAGTGACCATATGGGCCCACAACTTATTGCTGAAAAAGGCCACAAACCCGAATCTTCGGAGGACACCTCAAAGGGAAGCGGCGAAAGCGACCGAGCATTTCGTGATCGTGAGACTTCTCAACTTGGATCTCTGTCTGAGGGTTGAAAAGGGAGTGGAAAAGAACTGATCTCAAATCACTAAATGGATGAACTAGAAGCTCGCCTCAATGCCAATGCGCCGAGGGGGAGAGGAGGTCATTGGGGTTTTGGGGTTTTGGGAGAACTGCACGGGACTAGCAGTCCCGTGCGGTCGATTTTGCTGAATAAAATTGTAAGCAGTCGATTTTGCTTATTAATATTAAAAAAATGTCTTTTTTAAAAATTTGTCCTATCCAATAATATACAAAAAAAAAAATTCTGTATAAAATGATTTCTTTTTCTGTAAATTTACCCTTTTAAACGTAATCGGTATCAATTTTACTCCCAACGCCGTGAGCGCGGAGCTCTCCGATAAACTCCGCCCTTTTCCCTCTTCTTTGATATTTTTTACTGTACCCATCTCAGTAGTAGAAAAGGCGAAACCCTAGCTCTTAGGGTTTTCAAGAAACCCAATCACGGGAAACGATCCAATCGAGTTAGGGTTTCGAAGATGGGATCAAGGGATCAGCAGGCGGAGAGCAGCGGAGGATTCTTAGTTGCAAATTTATGCGCTTTTTCGTTATCTTGTATGTAGTTGTTATGATCCGCCTTCTGTATTTCGCATGAAGAAGTGCGGGATTATTTTCACCAACTTAAAATCAGAAGCAATGGAAAATAATAAGAAATAGCGAACCAATGAAGACAAAGGTTAAATAGATTGGGTAAGAGTTTGTTTAGACCTTTTCTTGAATATTATGATTGTGTTGATTTCTTCCATATGAACAATTGACCGGAGAAAAGGGACATAGCCATCAAAACTTAAAAAGGAGCAAAATCAGTACATAGGTTGACTGGTGCAATATCATTTTATACCCGTTAAGGCCTTCGCACATTTAAGTTTTTCCCCCCTCTTAAAACATATTAGGTGTTTATTGGAAAATGAATGTCGGTTTCTCATTGTAGAAATTGTAAGAACTTCATGGATGAGAGAACAATGATTCCAAGTCTTCTATATAATTTTATGTTAGTGTATTTGACATGATTTCCAATCGATGTCAAGACTTGGTTCCTTAAACTTAAACCTAATCGACATCAATTTTCTGTATGCTCGCATATGTAACTGTATGTTACGGAAACTTACTTTAGTTACACTTCTTTTCAGGTTACTGGGTTATGAAGGACTGGAAGTAATTAATCCAGAGGGAGGCACAGAAGATGCAGAGGCTGAAGCTCAGAGGGGAAGATGGAAGCAGGAGGTGCTGTCTCTTTTCACTCTCACCCTTATAAACACATTCATAAATGACTTATTATCTTGGATGAATTGAAATAGGGATTCTGTAGCGCTTCTTGTAGGTCAATACTTCTATACTACCATGTAATGGGAGAGTGCATTTGCACAAGTGCACAACTATTTGAGGAAGATGTAATTAGAAACCATGAATTAACAACAGATATTAAAACATGAATTTTATCAGAACAGTACCATCAATGATTAATGCTTAATAAGTATCAGGTGGCATCATATATATTTATATATATATTTTTGCGTGTAATATTTTATGATTTGTTAAAAACAGTAGTAATTGATATATTAAGATATTCTTAGGTCTCATGTGCATTATACTTGTCAAAAATTCTTGTACTAAATAAATTTCTTCTTGTTTGTAATTATTTGCAACTTATGCTGAACTTATATAAATTATTCAGGTTTTTTGGTTGAAAGTCTATTACTTTGAATTCTGTTCTTGTGGATATGCTATGTAAAGTAACAAGGACACATGATCTATGAAATGGAATGAATAAGTTGGAATATTTTGAAATGTCTTTTAATGATAATGTTGCTGTCAGATGCCTTCGAGACTTGCGTTGAATGTCTGCTTTTTTGTTATAGAGTGAATACCATATGATGTAAAAATTTGTGCACAATTAGGGAGTGGGTTGTTTAGTGTATAGGGTGAAGTTTAATTAACTGGGTATCATAGGCCTCGTTATGTAGGTTTTTGTGTGATCATTATCTAAGAATTATGTGGAAACAATCAACGAAAATGATGCAGAATCAATTTATATGGCAAGGCATGTGATAAGTGCTAGGGCCAGGGGATACATCTTCACATCTCATAGGACGAAAGTGAGATGAAAAATGGCATATACGTCAACTGTTGGAAGCTAGAGCTTCTCTAATTGAGGAATGAAAAGGAAAGACGAAAAGGATTGTGATTATACCAATTGGAGGTGAGTTGTCATTTCTTATCTCTTTTATATAATCAAGTAAAAGAGGAGGTGCCTTTGTGAAACATGGATGTAAGCTGCAGGATAGAATATATTGATCTGAAGGAAATGCTGCAGTTCTTTTTCAATAGTAATTTAATAATCTCTTGTTCTTTAATAGGTAATGATCTGCAGTCTCGACTTTGAGACATTTATATGGCATGGCCAATAGCTATACTATAGAGTCCGTTTTGTGACACATAACATGTACTTTTGTTGCCTATCCCATAAAGGTTGACCTTATTGTGGATAAATTTGTATTTTAGTTTTGGGTTTTTTATATATTTACTTGGGATTCATGTTAACTACAATGGCTATTTTGCATGCATGCATTCAAGCAAAGTACAAATTGTTAATTTGTTGGGACGAAATTAGTTGGAATCACTCTCTTCGGAAAACCAGAGACAAGACGTGTGGCTTCCTATCCAAACAAGCAAAACATTGATGCTAGCAACAACAAAAAGTCAACTGACAAATAGCAGGAAAACCTCCATCTGAAATTTTGAGGTCAAGTGCATAAATCATTGTCGTCCGATATGGTCTTTAAATGTCAACTTCTCTGTTGGCCTTGATCAATCATCCAAATAAGAAAAATTGCACAGGTTAATCTAAATTCTCTGTCCTGCTGATACAATGTTCTAAGTTTGATCACTGTGATCCTTGAAGTTAGCAACATATTGCATATTCCACACAATTTATAACAAACAATATATGTATCTGATTAGTTATATTGGCAGTTCACAGTAAGAAAACATAACCGTCTTGTTGAGTTTTATTCTTTAAATTGAATAGTCCAGCTTGTTCTTCATAATCTAAATGCACCTCTATGTGATTCTTATGGAAAATTATATGCTATTTCTTTTTTATATATCAAAATTCAAACTCAAGCTTGCTCCCTTATTGTATATTTTTAAATTGTTTTCTATTAGTCTATGCTGATTACATGACATTTTCTAATCATTACAGGAACGAGATGGTTATTGGAAGATGATGCAGAAGTATATTGGATCAGATGTGACATCAATGGTTACTCTTCCTGTCATCATTTTTGAGCCAATGACAATGCTTCAGAAAATGGCTGAGGTTTGTGGTATATGCAGTGATGATATTGTAAATGGTCATTATGTCTTACATACACATTTTGATAAAACTGGCAGTATTAACGCTATGATAAGATAAATCTGACAGCACAAGTACCATGATAGAATCTTCTTTTCCCTCTTGCTAACATGTAGCTTATTGATACTGCATTTACTCACCAAATGTATTTGTGCTCTTCAGCTTCTATCTTTAGATGCTGAATTGAAAATTACATCTTCCTCCTATATTCTTCCAAGGGTTTATCTGCACAGCATGTAGCTGGTCAAACATAATATAATGTTTCTCTCGCTGTAATTTCTATCACAGTTAATGGAATATTGCCACTTGTTAGACCTGGCAGACGAATGTGAGGACCCCTACATGCAATTGGTCTATGCTTGTAAGTAATTTTTATCATCTTCTCTTTATGTTTGCGCATTAAGAAATTTGTTCGTTTACTGGTATTTGTGATAATAAATGCAGCTTCATGGGCAATATCTGTGTATTATGCTTACCAAAGAACATGGAAGCCATTCAATCCTATCCTTGGGGAAACTTATGAGATGGTTAATCACAATGGAATTACATTCATTGCGGAGCAGGTTAATTTCTTGGAACTCTGAGATGCTCCTTTCTGTTATTTCCTTTATCATGATATTGTTTTAGAGTATCATGTCCAGCACATTATATTCCTTAGTACTATACAGGATGTGTTAGAATGTCAATCTTTATTTTCTTGTCATTTCAGGTTAGTCATCATCCTCCAATGAGCGCGGGCCATGCAGAGAATGAGCATTTTACTTATGATGTCACTTCCAAACTAAAAACTAAGTTCTTGGGGAATTCAGTAGAAGTTTATCCTGTGGGAAGGTGAGCTGCTTGTCCCAAACCTTGTCATAAATGCAACAAAACTATGCTCATGCTATGTCAGTACTTTCGTGCAGGACAAGGGTTACCCTTAAAAAGTCTGGTGTTGTCTTGGACTTGGTGCCTCCTCCAACCAAAGTTAACAACCTGATATTTGGACGCACCTGGGTTGACTCGCCAGGGGAGATGATCATGACAAACTTAACAACTGGGGATAAAGTTGTGTTATATTTTCAACCATGTGGCTGGTTCGGGTAAGAGATTGTTTCTAAGTTTTTCTTTGATTTTCTGCCACTAAATAGGCTGTCAAGTTTATTGTGCACCAAATTTGCTAGCAACTCGCACTACTATTATTAACAGTGCTTTGAACAAGAAATTGTCAGGAGACTAGATGCATTACTCTTGTTCTCGTTGCTCCTCTTTCTTGATTTATGTGTGATTTTTTTCTTGTTTCTAATGAAATAATATTGCATACAAGGATTGAACACCAAGTGGAAGTATTCATTAATCTTTTTCATGATTGTTGCTTTGAGGATCCCTTTGAGTTCTCTTGCTTTCTTTTTAGGACTGTGTGATGTTTCTTACTGCAAGCTATCTGTGTGTGCAGTGCTGGAAGATATGAAGTGGATGGATATGTATATGATGCGGGAGAAGAACCTAAAATACTGATGACAGGGAAATGGAATGAATCCATGAGCTGCCAACCATGTGACAAGGAAGGAGAGCCCCTTCCTGGCACAGCACTAAAAGAGGTTTGTTTCTTATTTTTATGTGGATTTCTTTTGCTAGATAATTTTTTATACCAATTAAAGATGCATCATTTGTTTTCTTTTGCTTAATCATAATTGACATCCCTCTATCCTGCATTATGCTCTAGTTTCTACTATTTACTTTATTGCTCCTCTTGCCGACTACTACATTTCATTCAAGTAGTCTAGGGGCTGTTTTCTATCTTTTGCATTTTTTTTCTTCGTGTTTAGAAGATATATACTTCTTCTATATGTGTCAAATGCTAACTGCTCTAGTACTCGGAGAACAGCTCCAAACACAATACACCACCTTGCTTAGGTCACCTTTTTTTTCAAAATAGAAGAATGGTTCTGAGAATTTCGTTAGAGTTGTCCATGCATAGTGATTCTGGTTCATCAAAACACACATATCTGTTTTGGAAAAGAGATACTTAACTAGTTAGCTTACAGGACAATTTGTAGAAGTCTATTAGTCTGGTTCCATTCCTCGCCAAAGGTGCCTTGAAAGGAAATTGCACGACATTGATTAGTAATATTTATATGGATCATCAAAAGCGATGCAAGGTTTGCTTTGTGAAGAAACCGAATCAAAATTAGTGCTTCCACCGATAGATTAATTGTCTTTTAGTGTATACTGTTTTCCTACCAATGTAAGAGAGGAGTAGATGGATAGATAAACAGAAGCAATTCTTGAATGCTTCTAGACAATTAGACCTGTAACAGCGCACAGAAAAAATCAGAGGCAAGTAAGACTGGACCGGTAGAAATTCTGAGTACTACGTAATTAAATTTAGCAATGTGTTATGCATAGGCCTTGGATAATTAATGTTCACACAAATATATTGGTTGCAATAGTTTTATTTCTAATCTAGGAAAAAGGGATAGTTATGCACCTCTAGTAACCATCTATGTCTCCAACTAATCAATTATTGACATGCGTCTCGCTGATGTTATCTCATCATCCAAATTCTCATCTTTTTCTCTAAAATCTCAAGCCCTCACCATCTTGCCGGGGTCAGGACTCATGTATATCGAGGTCAAAGGTGAGATGTTGGAGTGAGTAGTGAGCTGAGGATTCGGAAACTTGGGAAAAATATGAGAAAAGGGAGATGATGAAGTGGTACTCAATGGAAAGATATGAAACTTTTCAGTTGAAATCTATTCTGTTAAACCCGCTATAAACTCTTGTCATGACATATTTATCTATTATTCTATTAGCTGAAATTATTTACATTCAGTGTTATGATAAAAATCCTGAAATTTTGAATTATATTTCCTTCATTTTGCCATGAATGATTAGATGTCATCGGTACACATGTTCTACTACTTGAATCCTGTTAGTGCTTGAAATCTTGAACTTGAGCTATATTCTTTATTAAGCTCAACTGAAGCTCTCCATGTATTCATCGCTTTCATTTTTTCTACTTCCCATGGTTATTTATTGTCCTCGTCAAACAGATACAGCTTAAATGGATAATAAGATAATGTTACTGTATGGACACTATAGTATACAAGTTAGATTACATATCAGCTGGTTGTATTTCACTTGAGCAACTTGATGTGCATTGATAGAATATTTGTTCTTTTGCTGATCTGTAATAGGTTTGGAGAGTTGTGGCCACGCCTGAGAATGATAAATTCCAGTACACATACTTTGCCCATAAAATAAACAGCTTTGATACAGCACCCAAGAAATTATTGGCATCAGATTCCCGATTAAGGCCTGATAGATATGCACTTGAGAAAGGTGACTTGTCGAAAGCTGGAGCAGAAAAGAGCAAGTGAGTGGATAGTACTGCCATTTACGTAAATCATAGATACTGATTCGCCCATTGCTAAAATAACATGATCATAAACTATAGTGGACAAAAATGATTTAGAAATTTTTTTCACTCAATTTGGATATCCATGGTTTTACTTATTGGATAGTTTTTACTAATTTCAGTTTGGAGGAACGACAAAGAGAAGAAAAAAGAAGCAGAGAGGCAAAGGGGCACCAATTTACACCAAGATGGTTCAATATGTCCGACGAAATCACACCCACACCTTGGGGTGACCTAGAGGTCTACGAGTATAATGGCAAATACACCGAACACAGGGCAAACATTGATAGCTTGAACTCTACAGAGGAAGTGAACATTGAATCCATTGAGTTCAACCCCTGGCAGTATGGTAATTAAACCGCTGAGTGAGGTATGTGCTGTTTTTGCTCTTCCTGTCTTCCCCGTTTCCTGGAAAGAATCCAAAACAGTAGAAATTTCTGTTTGTGACAGCAATTTCGGTAAAGCGAAACTTACGAGCTTCACAGTGTAGTTCTGCTCGAGAAAGAACTTCTCTATTGATTAATTATCTCAAAAATGTTACTTGTTTCTGAGATTTCGATTTTCTCAGAATCGTATTTCATTGAAGTTATGCTGGTACCTTCATTCCACTTGGAGGATAAATTTGCAGCTTATTGTGTTCAAATATGTACAGTTAGCTTGTATTCAATAATTAAACCTTGTACACCAGTATTTGTTATTTGCAACATTAAGACTTCTTTGATTATTTGTTAGATGGTTGCATAATCCAAATCTTTCTTTCAAATTAAAATTGTAGTATAGATTTGGATGTTTCCTTTCGCATGAGCTTCGATGGAAAAAGCTATGGCTCTTTGAGAGGCATTGACAACTGGCCTTGTGCTAGTAATAAGTTATTGGATTCTATGTTTGATGAGTTTGCTAATGACCCCAAAGATTAAGCCTAGCTGTCTCAGTTTTTTTTTTAATCTAAATCTAAATCTTAAAGTAAGGTTAAGCTGGCTACAGCAAATTTTGAAGACGGTGATGTGCGCTTTGGTAGGGTCTAGGGCCAATTGTTTGGGTTTACGGTCTCCCCACTCATCCTGTGCTGTGGATAATGTCGGTGCTAAACGCACTTTTAATTTTTCTATTAAAAGTCACATAATTGGAGCAAAAGTCACACATCATACTAAAATCAATTTTAATTTTGATTTTAATTTTATTTTAATTTTAATTTTATAGAAAGCACTTTGATTTGAGTCGGCCTTTCTTTCTTTCCTTTTTTCTTTTTTCTTTTCATAACAAAAAAAAAAAAGAAATATGCATAGCTTTTTTTTTTCTTTTTTTAAATTAATTTTTTAAATATTATATTATTAAGATAAATTGATAAACTATTATACATGTGATGATGACAAGCGGACAACAAGCTAAATCGATAATTTTTTTTTTTGTTTTGTTTTGTGTGTGTGATATAATTACGATTCAGATGATCCCTATACTATTTTAGATTTGGCAAAAAGTCTCGTCATGTAAAATACTTATCTCATATGAAGTGAGGAAACACGGAAGGAATCGGTTAAGTATCTTTTCAAATGTTTATATATTTGGGAGTTGGTTTCTCCTGCCTTTTTTTACCATTGGGAAAAGAAACTCCATTTCTAGAAATCTAAATTTTCTTTTTCCCCTTCGCGCGCGTGTGTGTGTTTTTTTTTTCCTTTTTTTGTTAGTGGCTCGAGTTTTGCCAATGGGGTGCCACGGGCCAGCCCCAAGGATTGGAACTCGGATTCAATGAATTATTTTTCAGACCGCCATTTTTTTTAGTTATTAATAAGAAAGTGCATAGACGTTAATGCAACTTGAGATTGTATCGGCTGGTGGACATTCTCTAGGAGGTACAACAATCACCTCATCCAAAGGGTGAAAATCAAATTAAGAACAAATAAAAGAAATTAACAATTACCAATAATTGATAAAGAAAAATCATAACCGCCCACTTCCTCCAACGCTAAAAGCTTTCATCGACTTTCGTAGCTATTTATCCTAAAGGGTACCAAATGTTCATAATTTAAGGACTAACAAAACTAATGTTAAAAGGGTACCGCTATTTTATGTTCCTTCTTCAGAAACACGCTAATCTAACTTACCTTACACAGCCTTCAGAAAATGGATTTGGATCCTCTCCACTACAAAAAAGTAGTGGATGGACCACTACTTTTAATCTCAAACGTTGATTATCTAGTTGATGATTATGATTTTTTCTTTTAGTGCAAATTAGGAATGAGTGTAATACACGGGAGTATGGTAAGTGTTAGATTTAGATTGTATCATAATCGCCTACTAAATAATCAACGATTGAGATTAAAAGTAGTGGTTTTTGTAGTGGAGAGGATCCAAATCCCAGAAAATATAAAAGGGTGAATTCCATGGACAGTCTTCCTACATTATTTTATTTTATTTTATTTTATTTTTTAAAACTAGAATTTATTGCCCTCAACTCTTTTCTTTTATTTACTCTTCTCACCGTCCTATTCACGAGCGAGGCGGAGGCTATTCGCAGTTCAAAATGTCAATACGAAGAAGATGATAACTGTTAATAAAATAGTTGGTGAGCGATGATGAGCGGTTGCTGAGTGAATAAATGAGGAGGTTTATATGCAATTTATCCAACATAATAATAATAATAATAAAATTAAAACTCGAGGCATTTCTTCTCCTCAATCCTCGCATAGCTGTTTGAAGCGATCACATGACGCTCTGCCTGCAACATGCCCCTCTTAATTCTCTCTGTACAGATATCTTGGTTAGCATCACTCAAAAGCACTTCAGACAGAAGTGACCGCAATATGTACTCATCACTTCCCCAGTTTTCCATTCTCGTATGTACAAATGAATGTTTTCTCCAAAACAAAAACACCTCAATGCTCTCTGTCCCCCAAAAAATTGTTGACAAAGGTTGCATAAAACTTTTAACTAACTATGGTAATCAAAGTGATTTTATTATAGTGTTTTTCATGATGTTTTTTTTTAAAACACGTTTTTTTTTTAAACACCATTTATAGTTATTATTTATATAGCGGCGGCGGCGGGCAGGTCCGACCGCGGCGCGGCGCGGTGAGCAACGTGCCGGCGGTGCCTGACTCGGTCGGGCGGCGGCCGACGGTGCCGGCGCCGACGGTCCGACACAGGTGACCTGCGGCGGACGACTTTACGGAGGGCGGAGTCGAGGATATGGGCAGCGTAGTGGGGCGAGTGTCGGCTAGGTCTGGGGTGTCGTGAGCGATGACGGCGTCGTCGGCAGGCCGCTGGCGGCGGGCGGGCGGGGCGGCGGGGGGCGGCGCGATGGTGGTGGCATTGGGCCGACAGCGGTGGGTACGGGTGGTGGCGGCCGGCGGGTAGCCGGCGGCAGCTTTAGATGCAAAAAACAAAACTCTCAAACACATTTTTAGTGTTTTTGCAGAAACTGTGTTTATATTTTTGCATTTTTATAAATGGTCAAGTCAAAACAACGCTCGCTGCGTTACACCAACGTGTTTTAATGTTTTTTTTGAAAAAAGGAACAGAAACGATAAAAACACCACGGTTACCAAACGCTCCCTCAAAAAGTAGCGGCGCGGTGAAAGCAAATTCTACGGGCGCCGGCGTCACAAAAACTCTTTCCAACACAAACTGAGGACAAAAAAAATTGGCGTACGCACCCTATGATCCGAGGACGTGGGGGCACCCCGGACAAAATTTTGATTCCAAGGGGGACCAGTGTTTTCATCCTTATGGCAAATCCTCATCCATCCATACGGATGGCGTTGCCTCCAAGCTAGCCATTCCTTCTCTTTTGGATCACATCATCGGCGTGGGAAAATTGTTTCCCTACCCAGAGCTTGAAAGCGAGTTTCTCGTAGACCCGCTAATAATTTGCGAAACCGTCAAGGTTTTATAGGAATGCGACTCCTGTGAAATAATGGATATGAAACGACAACTCATCGAATTAACTTGCTAATCCCACTGAAAGCAAGTAGATTCCCCCGCTCACGTCTCTTTGTAGCTTGAACAGGGGGGAAGCTCACATCCTATATATGTCATTTATTTCAAACATTATATAGTTCTCATTTGGATCTATGGACTAGTGGTTTATGTGGCACCTTTTTAGCTACCCAGTCAAGTTTTTTGTTGTAATTTTTTATTTTTTTCTCAGTTTCGTAACTTAGTAGTTCACAAGGGGTTTATTTTTATAGTTCAGGTGTCAACTATTCCCCCCGCAGTGGTGGATTGAAAAACAAATTAACACTTCTATTCCTCATCTTTCCTTGTACGCAATGATTAAGTTTTTTCATAAGCTCGACCCAATGCATGGATGAGCTCACATGACCTACTCCACGTGATAACAACCATTATTTTCTCGGACGAATTTAATTTATTTAAATAGGCCCATTTTAATATTTATTCTCAGATAAAAACCCATTTCAATCTTATTTACAAAAGTAGACTCTGTTCCTGCCATGCCAGGCACCGTTGCTAAAAGCTAGTCAATTTTTTTTAAAAACATACCATTTACTAATTAGTTGGATTGACAACCCTACTATATTAGAGAAAATAATTAAGTTCAAAATGGCCTTAGTTGGCAACATCAGCTATTTTTGAACTATGTTCTAAATAACTGTGGTTGCCAACCACAGTTATTTTGAACTTTGGTCTACTAAATAGGCTGGGCTGGTAACCCCATCTAATTAGTAAATTGTATGTTTTTCATCAACTCCGTTTTCGCTGAAATTGGATCTACTTTGCGAATAAAATTAACGTATACAGGGAGCGTGGCATGCCCCATGGTTAAGAAAAAGTGTTGTATTTTTTCATATTTTAAGATGATTTTTAGTGAATCTATGAATAAATCAAGGATGGACTTACGAAAATTGATTTTCGAAAAACTAATTAATTGTAACCATGATCCTTTTTTCCCCCCAGATCATCCTCATCAAACTCCTTTAGTTCTCCATTGAAATTTGTTCATTTGGATGATGGTTTTATCTATGGTCTAACCTTCATGTTATCCTCATGTCTCGACTTAATTAATTAGGTGATAACTTGTTGACCTACCCTCAAGAAAATGCTAGCATGCATTTTCCCCCCTCTAGATTCCTAGACCTCAACATATTTCTACTAGTTAAAGAACATTGACTTTAACTATAGTCGATTATTAAAAATAAAAAGAGGGGGTGGGGGTGAATATTTATTCAACTGTTCCTTTTGAATCCGATCTGCTCCATCGGTTGACCAAAATTGAATAGTGGAGAAACTACTATTTTTAATGATAACTAGTTTTTACACACGTGCATTGCACGTGATTTAATACCATAATTAAGTATTTATGGCAGTTTGTGCTCACTTTTTTCTTTAAACTCTTACATCCCGATTATTTTTTTATGTTTGTTTAAATGGGATACACCCAATTTAAATTTTCATGTTGATATTTGAATTGACAAAAAACAAATATAATATAAAAATAATTTGAATTTTCATATTATTTTTGACTGATATAAAACTAAGCTTTATTTGAGAAAGTATAGCATTGCAAAGTGAAAAATATTAAAATAGTGTTATACAAGGAAGGTGAATATTTAAAACCAATATGACAAAATGATTGATTTAAAGTATATTAAAACGATGCAAAAGAGAATATGAAGTTTATTCCTAATCATTGATAGACTTCATAAAAAATATAAATTAAAGATTAATGTTAACTCTAGTATACTTTTATATGATAAAAACATCCACATA